TCACTGCCCAGGCCCCCGGCGGAGCACTGTACGCGCTTCAGGCAGGGCTGCAGCCCAGCTCCTCCCTTGTACCCATTCACCGGCAGTGAACGTTACAGGGCGCTCGACAGGAGCTTTCTAGAAGAGCGCAACGCAGGTGAGGCAGCACTCGGCCACCTCTCCAGAGCCAGCTTCTGCGCTCGGCCACCTCTCCAGAGCCAGCTTCTCCTTGCACTGCAGGGAGCGCGGGTTCCTCCTGAGCAGCAGCGAACACTCAGGGAGCGACGCCCCTCCGGGAGCACAGCACGTTCGAGGCTCCTTCCCACCGCTTGCTCCTGCGCTGCGCCGTACCACGTTAATGATGCGATTAGCATAGAAACAAAGAAAGCAAGCACCACATCTGAGGCAGCGCTAAATTATGGGACGGAGAGTTACAAATAGGTGCAAACCATTAAGTCAGCTTTGCTGCTAAATAAGCCAGAGGTGGAAGTTCATCCACGCCTCAGCCCAAGCCAGCGGCAGAAAAGGTGTATTTCAGCTGCCACACAAAGCGCAGGAGCTGATTAAACTGAGGTGACGTCGCAGAGCCACGTTTTACACATCGGGGCCTGACTATAACAAACAAGAAACTTATTTAAACCAAATCTGAAGTTACATGAGGAAAAGAGGTGGCTTTAAGCGCATTAGCCAGTAACTAGGTGACCTGGAAAAGCTCACCTCCAACTCCCCAGACACGGCCAGATCGGCACGTGGGGCAACTGGAATGAGTTAACGGATGAAAAAGCACAGAAGTGGTTGTTTGGTTTTTCCTGGTGAGGACCAGAAGCCAGTTTAAAAGGAAGTGCTTTGCAGCGTGACCGGGCCAGCAGAGCCCCCACTGGGGACGCCCCCATTATTTGCAAACATTTATTTCTGCACAACTCGCTGCCCACTTGTGACCGTGCCCTCAGCGACGGGTGGGAGTACCATGCCCCAGCCCCTCCCAACCTGCGCAGCCACAGAGACAGGTCGCACCATACACCCAATGGAAAGAATCCGTCAGGTTCTTGCCCAAGGCACGGCCAAAACAAGGGGTACAACCACGACGGGTGACTCAGCTGGAAGACTTAACACACCAGGTACCGCAGATGCTGCAGCGCCGGGGAGCATGCTCGCCCTCACAAATGGGTCCTCCCAGTTACACCGATGGATGCGCCGTAGGAACACCATGACACTCAACAGAACGCGACTTTAACACAGCTGCGCAAACGGGTCCCATAAAAACAGAGCGCGCAGACGCACGCACAGTGCGGTTACAGGATTTCCGCGGTTACACAGACCTTAGGCGTTTATGCAGTTTATGCTAAATTCTCCAGTCACAGCTGGATCCAGCCAAACATTGGCATCTTCCCACACGTGTGCTGCGGCACGGTCACTTACACCGCGGATAGCTGCCGCTCTGCAGAAGACGGTGGCTTTTCTGAATTGCAGCCCCTCGAGATCACCAGAACTGCTGTGGGACAGACCCGCACCTCGCAGCACAAACCCCATCACCAGCGCAGAGCTGGGGGACCTTCTGTCCCAGCCGCAGAAGGGAGCGGGGCCTGGGGAGCTCCCACGGGCACCCAACGCACCCAACCCCAATGCTATGAATTAAACCCCCAGCAAACGCCCCCCGCGCACCCCGTGGGGCCGCTCCCGAGCCCCCTACCTGGA